TTTCACTAGTGAGCTGCATCATCTTTAACTTCTTAATCTGAAGGATGGGTTATTTTTTATATTTTTAAGCAGTTAGAGGTTTAAAAATTGGTGGCTCACATACTCTTTGTGGCCTCCCACGGCATGCCAGCCCCGTGGGTGCTGCCTGTGCAGCAGCCCAATTTACTAAATGTCACTTGCAGTGGAATAAGCAGCTGTGAAATAACCTGCATTAGGAGGTTGAAGGTTGTTGCTTGATGAGTCTCTCTGATGACATTCCTGTGAGACCGACTGACTACATGGCCACATGCAGTCAGTGCAGAAGACTTCCTGCTTCAGAAGCATTCCAAGGCAGGGGCAAAGTTTTCCTTGGAAATATCAGACAGTTGGGTATGGGGAGATGCAGGTGGGTATGGTATTCTGAGGTTCTCAGTGCAGTCTACTAACTAGCTGAACTAATGAATTAAACTGCTTAACACCCTAAGCTAGGTGTGCTTTGCCTCGTTTTACACATGAGACACAGAAATACTGACCTGGTCAGGGCCACGCAGTTAATCAGTGGCAGACCTGGGGCTTGAACTGAAGAGTCCCAGGTCAAAGTCCACTGTAGCAGTGCATTCTCCTTCCTTATTTAAGCACATATCCCATTTGTTAGTGAAGCTGGGAAAGGAAATGCACAAAAACTTCTGTCAAGGTTAGTATATGCAGTATTAAATGTTTGCCAGAATGTGGCAGTGGTGCTTTTAAGACCAAGGGGAATTGATTTTCTCCAGCCTTGTTTTTTTCCATCATGAGCCAGCATGGCTAACACATCAGCTGCTGCTCGTTGTCTTTCCCACAAAAGAAAGATGAATGAAGGATGCGCTCTCCAGACTGCCTCTAACATGGCTAGGAAATCAAACCATGCTTCCAGTTGGCTCATCTCTAATTAACGTGCCCAGTTTGGCTAAATCAATATCATTAGTCAAATGATAATTTTTACTCATGTTTGTCATAGCACCATGCATATAGTGCATCACCTTCGAGTTGGGTATTTGTCATATAATAAACCCTATGCACATAAAAAAGTGAGCTAATTTTACTAAGTGCCACCGTATCACTAGCATAATGGAGAGAGATATTAGCCATGCCACACCAGTCCTTAAGAGATGTCAAGTAATTGACAACCCTAACTCTAGTAGACAGAGATTGGATATGTGTGTAATTAAATCCATCACAAACCCCACTCAAAATATAATTTATTTTGTGCAAAGGAAGTCATATCGCATTACCCACTTGCCAACATTAAGAGAAAAAAATATAAATAGAGATGATTACATTTACGTAGCCTATCATTTCAGAAGCAGAAAGAGCTGGTGGATATTAAAGGAAAAGATTCTAAACAAACTTCTCTGTGTATTCAGGACACACATTAGTGCAGTAGGGCTGGAGTCATTTGAAGCTTAAGTTAGGTTTTCTTGTCTGCAGACACCCTCAGTGTGTATGTTCTTCCTCTGTGTTATCTCACAGTAACAAAACTAAGTTTATGAACCAAGATGACATTAAAAAAGGAGGAATCTGAGGTTTCTATGCTATAAACTGTTCTGGGTGGACAGGGCTTTTGCCTGTAGCCCTACTGGAATAGTTGTTCAGGGATTTGCTCATGCTGAGCGGTTTGTAGGATTGGGGAGGTAATTTTTCAGGTGCTTCCTATAATGTACATGACATCTGCCAGAGAACTTACCAGCTGTCATGAGGATGTATTTTATTTGTTTAGTTAGATAGCAACAAAAGTATTCTACAGTAAGTATTTTAGTATCAATCAGGCAATAATTTCCTGCCTTTGGGATTATTCATCAGACACTGGAAGATACTTCTATCTTGTGTTTCATTGGTAGAGGGATTTTCATCACATAATATCTTGTTGCAATGACTTCAGTTTGAACCACATAGAGTTGGAACTCACTGATACTCCAGCTCACATAGGCAAGTTATACTCTGTTACTCCACAAAGGAGAGTGTCAAAGTGAATTCATAAACATCTTCCCCCAAATTCTCCTTTATGTTGATCTATTGTTCTTGTGGAGAGTCACATAAAGCACTAGGAAGTGACTCATACTGGATTCTGAGCTTGTGAGGTGCTGAACACCCTACGGTCCCATTGATTTCTGTGGGAGTTCAGAGCAGTCTGTCTTAGGGGCATGGTGACAAATTGCTATAGCCCATGTTAAGTGTAACAATGACAATCAGAAGTGTGAATTTGCAGAGCGAATATTATTTTTGTTGCTTTTTTCTTGTAATTACAGTGCCCTTAGCAATGCAGTACGTTTTATTTCTACAACCTGCAGGAAAAGGAAAGCCTGTCTAAAATGCGCTTCAAAGACCCTTTTGGTTGATTGCCCTAGTTAGAGATGAGACTTTGCTTGCTACCTCTCCTCCATTCCAGGGCATATTGAATTGTTCATAAAATTGCTGCAAACAGCACCTCTTGAGAGATGGTGTAGTGCCTTGCTTGAGTGCTTCATTAACCATGGTTAGGCTCAGACTCAAGGGGTGATTAGACAGAGAGGGAACAATATGTTTCATAAGGCATTATTAGCAGAACATCTGAACTTTCGACTCACCTCATACACAGCAATTCGTGTACGTGAAGAAAGATTCAAATTCCTTTTTTTTTTTCCTGCTTGAAACAAAACAAAATGTCTGTGGATGCTGCCATGGACCATTCTAAGTTCACACAAATAACCAGGTCAGCTTCTCCTCCCAGTGGTGGACATGGAATCCACTCAGAGTACTGCAGGCACAGAAAATCCAAGTTAGGCCGTCTTCACCCAGTTAGTTCCCACAGCTTGTTCTGAGTGAGCATGGAAAGCTCATCATTGCCTGATGTTAGTATATCGAAGTGTGCTAGGGAACTTCCTGTGTCCAGTAGCAGGATCCACATGGCTAGTTAGTGCATGGCGCTCTGGTATGCTGTAGATTTACACCCCTACTTGTTGCTCACTAATTCTCCAGCTAGACAAGCCCGTAGGAAATGCATTTCAGTTGAGATAAACACACAAAAACCTTGTAATGTAGTTGTCCACATCACAGAAACCTCTAGTTTAAGATTTCAGCACATGGTGGTCCAGTGTGGAGGACGTGATTTAAAAGAGAAGTGGGTAAAAATTATTAATAGAACTGCACATTAGTTTTAAGGCTGCCTCTCAAAGAGGGACATCATAATGTTTTCTAATTGGGGCTGATAAAAATGTAGCATTACTTGTAGGCTCCTCAGAGAAGCCAGTTGTGAAATTGGGTTTGTATTAAACCTAATAATGGAAAATTAAGCATAGTATGTCTGTTGGAAATGGCCCGTCATAAAAATAGTCTCCTCTTCATTATGGGAGGTTAATAGGGAATAGGTAAGGAAAGATGCATTGGGGAAACGAAGCCAACTAGGAAAATTAATAAGCCTTGAAATTCCCTCTGTTCAGAGTTCTCACATTGTAATTAGTAACAGTATTAGAATTATTATACAAATGCTTAGATGTTACTCTTCCTTAAATTCCACATTTATTGATGTTATATGTGTTGGTGGTTTTGCTAAAGCCAAATTCATATTTATTTTTGTGTGTCGCATGCATGTTGCTTTATTGAAGCCTGGATTTTGAAAAATATCTTAACACCAGTGACTTGGTGTAAGAGATGCTGATCACCTGTAACTCCAGTAGATTTCAGAATGAGTGGAAGGTGGTCAACATCTCTGATAATTGGATAAGTTAAAACTCTGTAGTGTTTTCTGCAAGAGGAGGAGTGTTCACCCTGCTGCTATAGCCAAAATTCAGCCTGAGCAGTTATAGTCCATCTCCCTAAAATTACCCTCAAGTTTCAGCTGGATTAGTTTGTTCTCTTTGCGCCTCCTAAAAGGGGCAAAGAGAATAATGCTACTGTAGTAGTGCTGCTGACAAGGAATAGCTTCTAGTTTCTATCCCTTTCCAATAGTGAGCAAGTAATCCCTTTGTATACAATCTCCAGTCACTTTGGATCATTCTGGATAGAAGAAGTTATATATTGGAATATGTGAATGTGGTGATAGTGGTTAGAACGATTAGTAACTAATGCAAATGACTAAGAGCCCTAGGAGATCCCTAACAAAGTGCCAAGACAAAGACTCACTTGATCAAATGCTTGAATTAAGTTGGCTCATTTGGAAAGAAACAAGAACAAGCAACTAGATGTTGCATCTAAACAGAGCTTCTGTAGTTAAATAGAAGAATCCTGGTTGGTGATCATGTGGTGCTAGGAGTGCTTTCTGTTCTATTGTCTATTGGGAGTATTGTGCCATACAGTTAGGGTTCTGCCTGAATATATGAAGCTACAGTCTTCATTCACCTAGTGCTGGAGATGTTTTCTAAATCCATTTCTTTTGAAAAGGTACATTTTTTTCTGATAAATTTACATTTCTGAAATATAAGTGCAAGTTAGCCATATTTCTGTGCAGTGTTGTTGTTCTTTCAGATGACATTACATTTCTTAAACTGAAATATATATGTTAGGCCTAAACTTTACTTCAAAGGTGACTAACAATTTTGGGTTTCCAAATTTCTGGGTGCCCAACTTGAGATGCTGAGCACTTACTCCTGAAAATCAGTCCTATCCATGGTTGAGCACCCAAAAATCACTGGTCTCTTGTACAGGGCAGTCATGCTTTGTGAACAGAAGTATATCATTCCAGTGGAGTTGCCATGCAGATTTCATGATTGTAACATGCATTATTTCTTGAGATATGCCATTTACTTCTGTCACTGTTGTGCCTGTTTGGCTATCCACATCTGTTCCTGTCTCTTCCTGATTGCCTCACGGACTGATTACACTACAAATATTTGAGCATGCCTTAGTCTTTCTGGATGGTTTGGGCACGTCTGGTTTTGCACTTGCTTCTCCTCTTTATTTTACCTGCACTGACCTATGGGGTTGGGGGTGGGGGCAAACAGCACAGGAATGAGACCGGAAATAATGGATAGGTAAAAGCTTGTTTTGTCTCCCTGTCTTTAAAACAGAGAGCAGCCACGGGGAAATGACCCAGCCAACTCTGACCATCCAGACCCATCCGTACAGGAGCTGTGAGCCAGTGGAAATGTCCTACCCCAGGGGGCAGTTCCAACCAGCCATCCGAGTGGCCGACTTGCTACAGCACATCACCCAGATGAAACGAGGACAAGGCTATGGATTTAAAGAGGAGTATGAGGTGAGAGGAACATTTGTTCACATAAGTAAATAGATAAGTGGAAGCAACTCTCAAGTCAGGATGGAGGCTCAGGAGTAGAGAATGATCGTTTTAAGAGGCTTTTTTATTAATTGAATGAACTGTAATCATGTCCCCCTTTTTGTGTTTCTGTGGCTAGGATTATAACCATATTCCTTTTCCTTCAGTAGTGGCTCCAAGCCCACTTCTCCTGTAGTGACATGATTATTGGGGGCTATCTGTTTCATAGGTCCATGTAACAGGATTATAGCATTGTAAGAGGAGGTGGAGAACATTTACAAGACCATTGGATCCCTTCCTTTGCGAGTGTGGATTATAATTTAGAGTCCAAGGCTATCCTTTCCCCAGAAGAACAGGTATAGCAGAGATTGAACAGGTGAAACAGTGAAAGAATCAGAGCTCCCTTCTCCTGTTGTCATTGGTGTAGTATAACTAAAGTAATGCAAGCCAAGTCTGGATAAGCAAGCAAGCTTTTTCTTTTGATTCCTACTCCGTTGCAGTCCCAAATGCTTTGTAGCAATTGATCAAATTAAAGCATAAATTCACAAGCTGCATGTGGAACAGTAAACTCAAAGCAAGAGATACCCTTAAAGAATTATTGGCTTTTCCATTGTGCTAGAACCTCTGGCTCAGAAGTGAGAGATAAGAAGCTAGTTATTAAAAAGAGGGCACAAAAACCAACAGGGTGGTGAGAATTAGAGAACATCAGAGACAAAGATGATAGAAAGAAAGATAACAAGAGACCAAGGAGGATATGAAAGAGAACTATGCAGCACCTGTATGGAGAGGGGTAGGAATGAGGAAGAGAAGGAACCAGCACAATCAGTCAATGAAATTCAGCTCTGGCAAGCTGTAATGGTAATGAGTGAAATAAGCTTTGTGGGGTGGCCATAAGGTGATATGTTGCAGCTTCTTTAAAATGATTCATAAATAACAGCAGCTGTGAGAAATGTGCAACTTAATGAAAGCAGTTTATTTTTAAATACTGTGAGTAAGAGAGCATTGGGCATGTAGCACTTGTGCTGGCTTATATTATTATAAAACGAGTATGGGAATTACCTTTCTGGGGCAAGCCAAATAGCTCTGTTTTGATCTGACGACATTATAGACTCATAAGGGTGAATGTTTCTAGTTACTATAGGATGGCAGAGAGCAGATAGGGCCCAATAACTAGCATTTCCACTATCCTGCATGCTAGGTTGACAATTAATTGATGGGCTTTGCGTAATATTGAAACAATGGGGTCTATTCTCTTATAGGTCCAAAGGGGATTTACTCAAGTAAACCCTTGCCCCCATGAACAGTAATCAACTTTGCACGTCACTCTCCTGCAGATGCTCCAAAGATTTAGGTCTTGATGCTAAAAGAGAAAATAAACAGTTTCTAGAGTGCACGTGGCTCTTGGCACCGGCCTTGGTAATTCTCAAAATAACCCATTAGCACAGGGATCGGCAACCTTTAGCACACTGGCCGGTTTGTTTACCTGCTGCATCCACGGGTTCGGCCGATCACGGCTCCCACTGGCCGCGGTTCACCGCTTCAGGCCAATGGGGGCTGCGGGAAATGGCATGGACTGAGGGATGTACTGGCCGCCACCTCCAGCCGCCCCTATTGGCCTGGAGTGGTGAACTGAGGCCAGTGGAAGCTGCAATCGGCCAAACCTGCGGATGTGGCCGGTAAACAAACCGGCCTGGCCCGCCAGGGTGCTTACCCTGGTGTGAGCCGCATGCTAAAGATTGCTGATCCCTGCATTAGCATAAAAAACATCAATGCAACTCCAGCTCCACGAGATAGGCCTCTCCCCAGAAAGTGCTAGCCATGTGTATATATAATGATAACAATATACTGTAGATTTACATAACCCATTTCACTCCAAGAGATACCACTAGATATTCTGCAGGTTCACAAATCACATGCAAAATCCTGCCCTTTATTAAAGGGGCACAACTGTTTTGAAGTCATCTAGATTTCCTTGATCGGTTAGAGAGAAGAATTTGGCTTTCCGTACACAGTATGTAGGGAATGCTTCACCCACTGCCAAAATGCAGCCGCAGTCACCACCAACAACACTACAAAGTTAGGGAGGCTGACCATATCCTGTTGAAACTACTAAGGGTAATTTCAAATTGACAGACTATATTGTCCCAAATTGGAATTTGGCTGAACAGAAGCCTAACAACTTCATTTTGCAAAAAGCACTCCAAGATCTTTAATCACAAATGGGCTAGACCTCTGTTTTATTTATATTGTGTTTTTATACATTATATAGTTTAGTACCTGTGTCACCTACAAATACATTTGTCCTTTAAAGAGCTGATTTTCTACCTTACTTTGCCAGCAGGTCTCATAAATTACAATCTATTTAGTGATGTGATATCAAATAATTTTACTCTTATGAAACATCTATTTGAGCCAGGATCATTCCTCATCCATGGCAGTCTCTTATCTCTGCAAATTTTCTCCCTGTGCTACTGCTGGGAAATTGAATCACAGATTTATTTTAAAAGTACCTCTCTCCCCCATAAGTTTGTAATAATGGCAAAGTTTTAAGCCAAGTGCACATGCTAAAACGTACATGCCTGTTAGGTGTGCAGAACTCTGCATTGGTGTGTACAAAGCAGGATCTGTGTGTGCATTTTGTGTTGTGTGAGCACTCGGTTTACACTTTGAATGCAGGGATTTGTCAGCAAACAAGGAGCAGGTGCATTTTTTTGCGCATCTGATATACCTATGGTTCAGTGTTTGACCTGGCCCTTCACAAGTGCTGTTGTTATTTAATAAATTTATATATATATAAGAATAAAATGTGACACTAACAACAGGGATTGATAACATTGGTCAGAATGAGGCATAATGTGGGGATGGCTTGTTTAAATGTCACTCATTCAACCTTCAGTACACTTTAGTTCTGACTTGCAGCACCTCTGATCCTAGTCTAAGCTTCCTATGAGCAAAGACTGCCAGTGTGGAAGGTGAGGAAGACAGATGCCCAAATTCATTTTTATTTGTGTTTGAAGACAGAATTGATACAGCTCCCCAGAAGTGAATAGCTTACTTCATACCCATGCTGCACTACTGGGGTATTTTATTTATTTTGGATTTTGTGGCTGGTACCTAAAGCATTTCAGGATGGACTTCTCAGTGCCTATTATGGAGTGTGAAGTCTGGCTTTTATCCCATTCATAAAATCATAGAAGATTAGGGTTGGAAGAGACCTTAGGAGGTCATCTAGTCCAAACCCCTGTTCAAAGCAGGACCAACCCCAACTAAATCATCCCAGCCAGGGCTTTGTCAAGCCAGGCCTTAAAAACCTCTAAGGATGGAGATTTCACCACCTCCATAAGTAACCCATTCCAGTGCTTCACCACCCTCCTAGTGAAATAGTTTTTCCTAATATCCAACCTAGATTTCCCCCCACTGCAACTTGAGACCATTGCTCCTTGTTCTGTCATCTGCCACCACTGAGAACAGCTTATCTCCATCCTCTTGTGAACCCTCCCCCCTTCAGGTGAATGAAGACTGCTATCAAATCCCCCCTCATTCTTCTCTTCTGCAGACTAAATAAGCCCAGTTTCCTCAGCCTCTCCTGATAAGTCATGTGCCCCAGCCCCCTAAACATTTTCATTGCCCTCTGCTGGACTCTCTTCAATTTGTTCACAGTCTTTCTGTAGTGGGGACCCAAAACTGGACGCAGTACTCCAGATGTGGCCTCACCTGTGCCCCAGGACCGACCCCTGGGCACTCCGCTTGATACCGGCTGCCAACTAGACATCGAGCCATTGATCACTACTTGTTGAGCCTGATGATCTAGCCAGCTTTCTATACACCTTATAGTCCATTCATCCAATCCACACTACTTTATGGATGCAGATAATGGCTCTGCAATCACATTAGCCAACTCCCTCAGCACCCTTGGATGCATTGCATCCACCCCCATGGACTTGTGTATGTCCAACTTTTCTAAATAGTCCTGAACCTGTTCTTCCACCACTGAGGGCTGCTCATCTCCTCCCCATAGTGTGTTGCCCAGTGCAGCAGTCTGGGAGCTGACCTTGTCTGTGAAGACCAAGGGAAAAAAAGCATTGAGTACTTCAGCTTTTTCCACATCATCTGTCATTAGGTTGCCTCCCCTATTCAGTAAGGGTCCCACACTTTCCCTGACCTTCTTTTTCTTGCTAACATATCTGTAGAAACCCTTTTTGTTACCCTTCACATGCCTTGCTAGCCACAGCTCCAGTTGTGCTTTGGCCTTCCTGATTACACCCCTGCATGCTCTAGAAATATTTTTATACTCCTCCCTACTCATCTGTCCAGGTTTCCACTTCTTGTAAGCTTCCTTTTTGTGTTCAAGCTCACTGAAAATTTCTCTGTTAAGCAAAGCTGGTCGCCTGCCATATTTGCTATTTTTTTTGCACATCAGGATGGTTTGTTCCTGCTCCCTCAATAAGGCTTCTTTAAAATACAGCCAGCTCTCTTGGACTCCTTTCCCCCTCATATTAGCCTCCCAGTTCCCTGGGGGAGTCTGCCCATCAGTTCCCTGAGGGAGTCAAAGTCTGCTTTTCTGAAGTCCAGGGTCCGTATTCTGCTGCTCTCCTTTCTTCCTTGTGTCAGGATCCTGAACTCGACCATTTCATGGTCACTGCTGCCCAGGTTGCCATCCCCTACCAATTCTTCCCTGTTTGTGAGCAGCAGGTTAAAAGGAGCACAGCCCCTAGTTGGTTCCTCCAGCACTTGCACCAGAAAGTTGTCCCCGACACTCTCCAAAAACTTCCTGGATTGTCTGTGCATTGTTGTATTGCTGTCTCAGCACATGTCAGGGTGATTGAAGTCCCCCATGAGAACCAGGGCCTGTGATATGGAAACTTCTCTTAGTTGTCCAAAGAGAGCCTCCCTCTACCTCATCCTCCTGGTCTGGTGAACTATAGCAGATGCCCACCATGACATCACCCTTGTTGCTCACCTCTAAACTTAATCCAAAGACACTCAACAGGCTTTTCTACAGTTTCATACTGGAGCTCTGAGCAATCATACTGTTCTCTTACATACAGTGCAACTCCTCCACCTTTTCTCCCCCGTCTGTCCTTCCTGAACAGTTTATACCCACTCATGACAGTGCTCCAGTCATGTGAGTTACCCCCACCAAGTCTCTGTTATTCCAATCACATCATAGTTCCTTGACTGTGCCAGGACTTCCAATTCTTCCTGCTTGTTTCCCAGGCTTCTTGCATTCGTGTACAGGCACCTAAGATAACTAGCCGATTCCCCTACTTTCTCAGTATTAATAAGGAGGCATCCCCTGTTGCACCCTTCTCCTTGTGTTTCCTTCCGGTATCCCACTTCCCTCCGGGCTTAGGTCTCCATCCCCCGGTGAACCTAGTTTAAAGCCCTCCTCACTAGGTTAGCAAGCCTGCCTGCAAAGATGCTCTTCTCTCTCTTCGTTAGGTTGATCCCATCTCTTCCTAGAAATCCTTCTTCCAAGAACAGCATCCCATGGTTGAAGAATCCAAAGCCCTCTTTCCGACACCACCTGCGCAACCATGCATTTACCTCCACAATTTGATGGTCCCTACCTGAGCCTTTTCCTTCAACAGGGAGGATGGACGAGAACGTGACTTGCACCTCAAACTCCTTTATCCTTCTTCCCAGAGCTACGTAGTCTGCAGTGACCCGCTCAAGGTCATTCTTGGTGCCCACATGGAGTATCATTGGTACCCACATGGAGAAGTAAGAAGGGGTAGCGGTCTGAGGGCTTGATCAGTCTCGCACGTTTCTTGAGTTTCCAGGTCTGGATAGCAGATGGATGACACTGTCCCCCTTATGAGGGAGTCCCCGACCACCATCACCTGTCTCCTCCTCTTGGGAGTGGTGGTCGTGGAACCCCCATCCCTAGGACAATGCATCCCATGCTTTCTGGTCAATAGGGTCTCCTTCTTATCCCTTCCCTCAGATGACTCTTCCAAACCATTCTCCGCTATAATACTTGTGCAGAGGGCCTGAAAATGGTTTCTTACCTCTATCCACATTGGGGGTACATGGGTTATCCTCTTTCTTCTTCTGGAGGTCACATGCTGCCAATTTTCTTCCCCGTTCTGCACTGCCCTCTCTGATTCTTTAGCATGTGCTGTGCCTGCAGAACCAAACGCTGACTTCTATCCAGAAAATCTTAATTTTCTGTGATGCAGCACAGGGTTGATACTTGGGTCTCTAGTCTTTAACCTTCTCTTCCAATATGGAGACCAGCTTGCATTTCATACAGACAAAGTCACTTCTATAATCTGGGAGAAAGACAAACATGGCACATCCTGTGCAGGTCACAACAGCTGATCGCTCACTATCCATATTGTCTTCGTTCTAAGAACCTCTTCAGATGTTGTATTTACTGCTCACAGATGCCTGAAAGGCAAAAACTCTGTGGGAACTCCCCCCCACAGGCAAACTCTCTCTGATGGCTTCTCCTCTGTTCACCGCTCACTTGGTTCACAGTCCTTACTTCCAGCTACAAATTCCATGTACATCTGAGGGAATAGAATCCTTTTGTTATCTATACATTATATAATAAATTATAAATACTGTTTGTCTCCTAACTGGTAGGGATCTTATTTACATTTTACAAAAATTTCTGTAGGAAAAGAGCATTGAAAATTAAGACCCAGATCTTGTGAACACCGAAATTCTACAAACAACCAGAAAGCGCTTAACTAAATAAACAAGTGCAGAATAGTCACTCTTGAGCATAAAATGAGAAAAAAATAAAGAGCTAGCAACACATAAATAAAACATCTGATTTAAATTTGGACAATTGTTTTGATTTTTTTAATCATGACTTTTACCTATCCTGCTTTAAATAATAAAATTATTTTGATTTTTTAAATTGGCAGAATGAAAACTAGTTACAAGTTTTTTATATTGCACAGGTAACAAAAATCCTGTCTCATCTCAGTGGTGCAGAAATGCTTGTTATATAAAGAAAACTTCTAGTGTAGAATTTCAGATGTGGTCTCCCTTTTGTGGATGCAGTTTAATTTGTGCCTGTTATTTTTGCACTTCCATTTCAGCTGTAGATGCAAATATTAACAGCCACACCTCTACCTACCTCATTGCCGATCACAGATCCGGAGGTTAGTGGTGCAGTTTCTCCAATTTGTTCATCTTGCTAATGGAAAAGCATTTGCACAAATGGTACCCTCAAACAGGGAATCTGTGCCTTCCATTCAAACAGAGATTGATATCTTAGTATAGTGTAAAATAACTCAGTGTTCAGTGAGAAGAACAATCAGCTTCCTCTTGAATCTTCTGAGGTCATATCAGGCCAGTGGTTTCTTTCAGCAGAAATCCTCATCCATTTAAATGGGAAGTTTCATGCTCAAATCAATGGCAGGATAGGGTTATTTGAACATAAGAACAGCCATGCTGGGTCAGACCAATGGACCATCTAACCCTGTATCCTGTCTTCCGACAGTGGCCACTGGCAGTGCTTCAGAGAGAATGAACAGAACAGGCAATCATCAAGTGATCCATCCCCTGTCACCCATTCCCACATTCTGGCAAACAGAGGCTAGGGACACTTCAGAGCATGGTTTTGCATCCTTGCCCATCTTGGCCATTGATGGACCTATCCTCCATGAACTTATCCAGTTCTTTTTTGAACCTTATTATAGTCTTGGCCTTCACGACATCCTCTGGCAAAGAGTTCCACAAGTTGACTATGTGTTGTATGAAGAAATACTTCCTTTTGTTTGTTTTAAACCAACTGCCTATTAATTTCATTTGGTGACCTCTAGTTCGTGTGTTATGAGAAGTAGTAAACAAAACTTCCTTAACTACTTTCTCTACATCAGTCATGATTTTATAGACCTCAATCATATCTCCCCTTAGCCGCCTCTTTTCCAAGCTGAAAAGTACCAGTCGTATTAATCTCTCCTCATACAGAAGCCATTCCACACCCCTAATCATTTTTGTTGCCCTTTTCTGAACCTTTTCCAATTCCAATATATCTTTTTTGAGATGGGGCGACCAGAACTGCACGCAGTAGTCGAGATGTGGGCGTACCATGGATTTATATAAAGGCAATATGATATTTTCTTTCTTATTATCAATCCCTTTCCTAATGATCTGGGTTTTATTGGATCTGACTGCATCCCCTTTGGTTGGACAAGACAGCATCACCCTGGTATAAATATGATGAGGTGGGATTTTTTTTTCTTCTCAAAAGTTTATGATTAGATTGCTAATGACTATTGCCATGCTCTGGTCAATGTACTGTAACTAGATCTTAATGTAAAAATAAGGCACCTTTTTTCCCTTCTCTTTGAAGATGAAAATGAGCCTCTCACACCCACTTTGTTATACTTATTTTTTTTGCCCAGGAGATTAGCTGCTATTATGTAGTAGCTCCCTGTAAAAGGAAATAGAAGTGTGATCAAAGCCCTCACCAATTACTGTTATCACCTCTTGCTCCTGGGCTTTTGAATTGGGTCTTGCCTTCCCTGTTGTCAACAGCACTCATAGATGTTCCTGACATTATCTGTCCTGGAACTCTATGAGAGGAAATTCAAGATCTGCCAAGAAGTCACTCGGATCACGTTTTATTGCAATGTCAGGTTTGTAGATCCTGGTTATTATGTCTCTCTTCCATCCCCAATCAGACACAGAAATAGACCTGAATGGCTTGTGAAGATGCATGTGAGTTTATTTTCAAATTTGGGCTATTGCAAACCACCCGCTGCTAGTGAAGGCAAAATAAAGTCTCCAAGGGTTAAATTAAAAAAACATTATTTCCTAAGAATCCTAAATAATACAGTTTGTAACACTGCTATTATTCTCTTGGAACACTGCATTTGCTTACAAGTCATGCTTGGGACTGGCAAAGTGACAGAAAATCTCAGGGGAAGGTAAGTAGGCATGGCCGTTTACATTCCCAACACTGAGCAAAGCCAGAATGGGGCTACAGCTGAGAATTCACGTTTGTGGTTTTCTGTCTCAGCTGTGAGAAGCTTTGCAAGTGGCACTAAGAGAAGGTCAGTGCCATCTGTGTCCCAAAAGAGAACGCTGCTCCTGCTTCTCTGAACTGCCCATGCTGAAGTTTCCCTGGCTATGTCTTGAGTGATCATCCCAATTTACAGACACTTCAAGCCATGTTGCAAAGAGGGGAAAGTCTGCCTCCCTGGCCATGTCCCAGGAGATGTGCCTTTTTCCTGGCTATTTCCATAAGAACCTTCATTTTGGAAAATGGTCCATATGATCATATCCAAAGGGACTCATGTGACCAAGTCAGAGGGTGGTTTAAATGCGAGCCGTGGGATGTGGGACCTCCCCCTCCAAGAAACAAATCCCAGGTTTATAACTGTGGCCATGTCCTTTAGCTGTGTGTCTGGGTGTACATTTTATGCAGCATTTGATGCTCAATCCCTGTGTAGTACAAAGACAATGGCTATAATATCCTTCTGTGTGGGTGAGGTGGGAAAGCCTTGTAGGAATTCCTTTAAAAAAACTAGCAGAAGGTTTGTATGGTGTAGTTACTGAAGACTGGTATCCCACTGTTATTAATCCAGAAATAGGAGAAACCACCCTATATACTTTCCATTTAAATATCCTACAAGACTGAGTTCTGCATTTCAGCCATCTGGTTTTTCTCAGGAGCATATGTGTGTGAAACCCTCACGGACCCTGCACTGTAGAGGGAACGTCGCTCACTCTGTAAATATGCCGCCAGAAGCAAATGCACTTCCCCATTCCTTTTAGGTCCATACTTGCACGAGGAAAATGATTCTTAGCCAGCATAAGCCAAAGGGTGCTAATGGTCTCTGCAGAGCTGTGCCTTTTGCATAATCCGATGTGCCTTTTCTTCCTTGAGAACAGCTGTTTGGTTGGTTGAGTACTGAATTATACATCGCCTTTATTTTTGCCCAGCTTTGTCATGTTAAACCACCTGAAGGCATTGGCCACTCTTTTTATAAACACTCTTCCACTGTTTATTTTTCAGGCTCTACCCGAGGGGCAGACGGCATCTTGGGATACGGCCAAGGAAGATGAAAACCGCAATAAGAATAGATATGGGAACATCATCTCCTGTAGGTGCAAATTCAAATTAAACTGAGCTTACTGTATGTGTTTGTCAGCATCTGGACAGATGTTCGAGAGCCTGAATAAAGAAAAATGGCTCAAAATGCCCAGCCTTTGAACAGTTCAATTAGTTAGTTGCAGGCTAAGCTTCTTGTTATGATTTCTACTCCCCTCCCCCTTCACTCCCCACTGTGCGTTTCAGATTTTGTACTTAAGGGCAAAATCCTGCTGTCAGATTTTCACAGTGGACTGTGATGCCAAGAGTCTGTTCTATCTCTACATACACAGAGCTTTCAGTACCACAAATGGGAGTTCAAGGGGCAACTAGGAATATCAGAGCTGAGATGTGGATCAGAGAACAGATTTTTTACCTTAGAATAGAAGTTGATAGACTCTAGTCTGTAGAGCACTCACTGGTGGTCTCCAGAGAGCTGGTTGCTTATATGGAGTAAGCTCTGTTCCTTGTTCCTCCTAAATCACATTGACAGCTAAAATAACATTAAACACTTCCCAATCTTACCTGCTCAAGTGAGCAATCGGTGTACTTGCTACAGGGATGTTATGGGATTGTAAATGAGATGGGAGGTGTGTGAGACCCTCTCTCTCTATTGAGATATGTTCAGCAGCATGGAAGCTATTTTAGAACCCCTGTATTAGATCATTGATATAAGAAATTGACCCAGGAACACAAACGGACACTTTTTGAGAGTTCCATTGAAGCCAGGTGAGTCATGCTAGTGTAAATGAGAGGAAAATTAGGCCCCATGCATTTATACATTTTATGTTGGCCAGGGGGAAAAATATCTTTCTTGCAAACATAAAGAATAGTCTTATGGTTAAGCCACTCGACTGTGACTCATCAGATTTAGAATTTGTTCTTGGATCTGGCACAGATTTCTGGGTGACCTGGGAGATGTCTCTGTCTGTCTGTCTGCCTTAGATCCCCATTCATAAAATGGGGTTAATAATACTGCTTATTTCACATCTTTTCTCTGTTTTGACAGTTTAGATTGAGTTCCTACTCTGGAGAATTTACAGTGTTTTACTATGTGTTTATAGGCTGCCTAGCGCAATGTGATGTATAAAATAATAATAACAATTAGTCAGAATGGGCAAACTGTGCTGGATAAAATAAGCTCTTCCTCTGCCCAGACACTTGGTCAATACCCAAACCAAATCTTTTCATTTTTTTTTTAGTTTCAAAAAGTTTGACACATTTTGGTTGGTTGGTTGGTTGGTTGGGATTTTTTCGCTTTTGTTTTTTTGTTTGGTTTGTCTGTGTTCCAGCTGGATGTGGTTTAACCTGCATAATCTGATGCAGCAACAGAATTAAACAATGGATCTGAGCCAAAACCCTGGATCTAGATAGTTTCCATCTACCTGCAGGGAAGATCTAGATTTGGATCCTAAGTTTATGGCTCAGGCTCATATCTAAACAGAATGAAATCACTATAACAAATGGAAAACATGAAAAAAGAAACTGAACTAATACTGTAGCATTAGGAGCCTACCTAATCATGAACTGAGATCCACTAATACCTTTCGAATATAATTTATTTTCCAGCTTCCGCATCTGTGGCACCAATGATATAAAAACAACAACTCAAGCAACAGGCTGTTGGGCATGGTGTAGAATGGTTTAGAAACCTTTTGATCTAGAGGAATAATGATGAGATTGAAAATAAATCAGGAATTCCTTAATTTTAATCCCAATTTTGCAACTGATTTACTCTATGCATTGGGCAGGTCACTTAACCTCCTTGCTTCTGTTTCTCCATCTGTAAAATGGAGATGGTAGTACTCGAGTGAAAACTTGTCCAGTGTTTTTGAAGAAGAAAGTGCCCTGTATTTATGAGTGGTGTATGTAATGAGGAAAATATGTGAGGCGATTTTTTCAGGTAGTTTTGAGTAAGCAGAGGACATGACTGAAGATGGAGGACAGAAGCAACTAAACTATAGTTACTGTCCAATTTAGGACTCGAGAGATCACCAAGTGCAGCACATGGCAAAAATACACATAGTGAAATCAGACAAGGTGAATGTGAAATGACACAGTGGGGAAATGTCCATAATGTTGCGTGCTTGAAGTTAATTACTTGAGATTGTTAAATAGACTCAAATGGAATTATTTAATCAAAGATTAACTATCTGAGATTAGTAGAGCACTATACAGAATACAGAAATAATAGATTCATTCTGACCCTTGATATCAGGTAAAAACCTGGCCTCTGTGTCTCTCTCTTCTGTAAATGATGAGATTTGAGCAGTTAGCACTCGCCGATCTAACTTTCAAATCCCTTGTGTTTTATAGAGTATGAGACAGAGGATCTCCTTTTTGTAAGGGAAAATTGCTTTCCCGCGATTAATTTCACTGTGTCTTGTTTTGACATTTTTCTTTTACCTAATTACTTATGAAACTTCTTTTATGGAATTTTTAGGTTACATGATCAATAAACTAAAGGGAATTCTAATCTGATCATTATTACTGACAGCTGTTACAACCAGCAGTTTTACTGAGTTAAAAACATCTTTCAATGGGTCATTGTTTCATCCATTACAGAACCCATCTGTAATAACAATGATTCCTTATCAATCACACAGTCCATTACAGAGAACATCTGCCATAACATGAATCCCTTATCAGTCACACCGTTTTGTTTATAACTTCCTTCTATAGACACTTTTTTATCAGTTTGATGGGTCTTTTCCCTGACATGTATAATCCCACAGATTTGGAGGCACCAACCATAATGAAGTAAAGCCCAATACTTGGTCACATGAAGTTCCTGAATCCAGGTCACTTACAGGTCAAGAACCAACACTCTGGCCTTAGAATTCAAACACACTCCTTTCTAATATCATAAAGAGTCTGGCAGAATAGTTAATATGTGAAGGAGTTTAATCTACAATAAAAAGAGGATTTAAGGGGTTAATATTTATTAACAGGTACTAACAACTAGGATGAATTATTGTCTGACAAAGTGTTGTGCTGCCTTTTGGCTATAAATATAAATACAGTAGGAATCAAGAGGAAGGAGGTGATGTTCTTGAATATGGAAATGCAAAATGTAATCAAAGCTAAGGAAGAGGTGTTTGCAAGGTCTAAAACATCGTAATATAAGTTCAGGTCCAGAGGCAGAGGGGGTGAAAAGGCATAAATAAGCAAAGTGGAGGTAGAGAAGGAGAGAAAGGATGTACACGAGTTTAAGATAAATAACAAGATTGAGTTTTTTCCCCTCAAATACATATTGAATCAAGAGTGCAGAGGAGGAGACAATAGACCTTCTAAGAGACAGGAAGGAGAGTTTAGTAACAGAAGAGATAGGAACAGATAAATGGAATGAAATTCTTTGCCTCACAATTTCCGAGGTGTCTCAGGATGGATGCCATTAAAGGGAAAGAAGGTGTCCAGGGAAGAAAGGAGATATCTGAAGAGCCTATGGGCCTGTTCCAACATCCATTGAAATCAATGGAAGTCTTGGCAGGGTTGTGAGTTCAATCCTTGAGGGGGCCATTTAGGGATCTGGGGCAAAAATCTGTCTGGGGATTAGTCCTGCTTTGAGCAGGGGGCTGGACTAGATGACCTCCTGAGGTCCCTTCCAACCCTGATATTCTATGATTCTATGAAAAAAAAAATCAAAATTTTGACTCCAGTGAAGTCTACATACTTTCCCTGCTGGGACACAGGACCAGGAGAGTATGCACTAGCCAGGAGGCCAGGCCAGAAATCAAGCAGAATTCAGGTATCAAAAGGAATCTTTTCTCCCAGACTCAGGGGTCCTGGGCAGCAGTGTAGCATCCCCTTCCTTACTTTTCTTGAGCCCACACCAGGAGGCATGGTGCTATTAGCTGGACTCTGTGATCCCTCTGAGTGTGACTCTCAAAGCACATAGCAGGAGTTAATGTTGCTTCCAACAATTCATAGAATCATAGAATATCAGGATTAGAAGAGACCTCAGGAGGTCATCTAGTCCAACCCCCTGCTCAAAGCAGGACCAATCCTTAACTAAATCATCCCAGCCAGGGCTTTGTCAAGCCTGACCTTAAAAACCTCTAAGGAAGGAGATTCCATCACCTCCCTAGGTAACCCATTCCAGTGCTTCACCACCTCCTAGTGAAAAAGTTTTTCCTAATATCCAACCTAAACCTCCCCCACTGCAACTTGAGACCATTACTACTTGTTCTATCATCTTGTACCACTGAGAACAGTCTAGATCCATCCTCTTTGGAACCCCCTTTCAGGTAGTTGAAAGCAGCTATCAAATCCCCCCTCATTCTTATCTTCTGCAGACTAAACAATCCCAGTTCCCTCAGCCTCTCCTCATAAGTCATGTGCTCCAGCCCCCTAATCATTGTTGCCATCTGCTGGACTCTCTCCAATTTTTCCATATCCTTCTTGTAGTGTGGGGCCCAAAACTGGACACAGTACTCCAGATGAGGCCTCACCAATGTTGAATAGAGGGGAATGATCACGTCCCTCGATCTGCTGACAGTGCCCCTACTTATACGGCCCAAAATTCCGTTAGCCTTCTTGGCAACAAGGGCACTCTGCTGACTCATATCCAGCTTCTCGTCCACTGTAACCCCTAGGTACTTTTCTGCAGAACTGCTGCCTAGCCATTCGGTCCCTAGTCTGTAGCAGTGAATGGGATTCTTCTGTCCTAAGTGCAGGACTCTGCACTTTTCCTTGTTGAACCTCATCAGATTTCTTTTGGCCCAATCCTCTAATTTATCTAGGTCCCTCTGTATCCTATCCCTCCAGCATATCTACCACTCCTCCCAGTTTAGTGTCATCTGCAAACTTGCTGAGGGTACAGTTCCAACTCCAGTATCTGCTGGGGCTTTATTCTCCAGCCACATAAAATGAATAGCTCCCATTGATGTCAGTGGGAGTTATCCATTTGCTGGTTTGGGAGAACCAGGCCCCTGGGAGAGAAGAAATGGGATGTTCACCACATAGTGTGGCTTCTCTGTTGGTCCTGTCAGCCTGACTGATGATTGATTTCAT